TGCCATCATGGAGATGAGAAGGTGGCAACTAAGGCTTGGGAAGGTTAGCAAGATTGTCCAAGATCACTTGGAAAGTAAAAGCAGGATTCAGAGCAGTTCTGGTCTTATAGTGTTGTTGATGCTGATGTTGTGATTGTTGTTGATCACACACACACACACACACACACACACACACACACATGTCAATGTGTTTGGGCTTTTGTAGTGATGTGATCCAAGCTGTCCTTGACTGAGTGTTCATTATGCAGGGTAGATCTGAACTCATTGAGCAGGAAAACAGAGAGGAAGGAACCAAGGGAGCTGGAAAAAACCAAAGTAAATATTTAGTGAGGACTGAAATTGAAAGTTTGTTGGGTAAAGATGGACACATCAACAAGATGGATGGTTATACAATTTCCACTCTTCCCTTCTTCCTGAAAAGCTAATGTTTGGGGAATGGTAGTAATGAGCTCTCTACTGATTCACCGAGTTGTTATCATTTCACATTATTAAAATCAATGATTCCTCTAATTTTAGGAGTATTATAATTTACATGCTAATGTAAAATTTAACCTGTACTGATATCATTTTCACTTAAATGGTTAAAGGATCTTTTCCAGTATTTTAAAGACTGAATATACAATACTTTGCATCTCTTTCAGATGATGTGATTAAATATTTATTGCCTTTAGTATCTTTGATCTTAAGTTTAGGTATAATAGGAAATACTGTACTTTTTCTGCCATAGTTCATTTCCATAAGCTAAGTCTTCTGTTGTTTTATCTATGCCCTTCCTAAATTGAATTTTTAAATCAAGAAAATCTTACATGAACTATATTAACCATGTAACAGACCCCCTCTATTTTATAATCTTAATATTTAATTGAGAATATGATGAGCAATGTCATTGTTTGTTCACATTTGCTGTTTTTTGGACATAAGGAACTTTACTTGTTTCCTACATCAAGGTATAATTTCCACTCAAGATGATCAGATTTAGAGTATAAAAAGGCAGTTCATTAAAGGCATTTAATTCACATTTCACTGCTAGTATCCAATGAGATTTACCAAGTATTTACAGCCACATGATGACTTTCTCATGGCTACATGGAGAAAGGCATTCAGGATCCTCTGGAAATGGCATTTTGAATTTGATTTTCATATACTTTGGAAAGTGACTGATTTCTACTCTATGCCTCTTCAAGTAAATGCTTCCAGATAAGTAGTTAACTTAGTGCTGTGGCAACATATAGATTGACTAGCATCCTTAATTAACTAGAATTTCTTTCAGGGCTGTGTTCAGTTTAAAAGAGAAAGGGACAAATTGCAAGCCAAATAAAAATCCAATACCATTTGCTTTCTTTAATTTCCAAGGACACATCAAGGTCACATAGATCCAGCCTAATCTCTTATGCTTTCTGCACTCACAGTATTTCATAATGATAACTTCTCTTAAAAGGATGATCTGATTCTAACTCCCTCCATAGGAGGTATTACAATATCCTATATCAAAGAAAGATTCTGCTATTCCAGAAATTGGTTTCGAGTATGTCACCAGAGATTAATAGTTTGAGTTTTTTTACTGCAAAGGCAATGTTTTCAATCAGGGTCCCCAGCAAGAAACAGTTGGCACACCCAGACTGAATACCTTGGCTACTTTTGAAGGGTAGGGTTTAGGGAAACCAAGGAAGGCAGTTCACTGCCCCTGCCCATTAACAGTGGAAGGCCGCAGGAATAAGGCTGCCATCCCTAGGCCTGAATAATGAAGGAGGAGGAGCAGTTCAACAGAGACAGTGCCTCTATTTCCCAAACCTGACTGAAAGCCACAGCAGTTCATAGGATCAGCTTCCCAAGGTTTGTAGAAAGGTGGAGAAAGATGCAGAGTGGATCTCGAGGGTAAACAGAAGAACTGTAGCACAGGAGGAGAGGAGATGAAAAGTCAATAAAATCGGTAGTAGTTAGACTACAGCAAGCCAAGCTGGACTGCAGCTCAGGGTCTTGCTGGAGAAAGGAAGAAAGCTAACATTTATTGAGGGCTGTTTCTAGTTACTACCTCTATATAACAAACCACCCTAAATTTGGTGTAGTAAAACAACCACCACTTTATAACGTTCATACATTCCATGGGTCAGAAATTTAGACAGGGCACAGTGGAGATGGCATGTATCGATTCTATTGGCACCTCAGCTAGGAAGACTCGAATGGCTGGGGATAACTCAAATGCCTGGGGGCTGGAACCATCTAGAGGCTTCTGTACTCACATGACTGGCACCTGGACTGGATGACTTTAAGGTTGGGCTCATCTGGGACTGTTGACTCAAGCACCTACATGTGGCCTCTCCGAGGGTGTGGGCTTCTTACAGGAGTGGGTAGAGTCTCCTGAGAATGAGAGACACAGAAGAGCCAGAGGGAGCCGCATGGCCTTTTGTGATCTAGCCTCTGACTTTGCAGAACATCACTTCTTCTGCATTTGGTCCAAGGCTGGGGGAATTAGACAGCATGTCTTGACGGGGGGATGACATGATCACATTGCAGAAGAGCATGCTGTATGGGAGATTATTGTTGCAGCCATCTTTGGAAAATACAAGCTGCCATATGCACATTCATGAAGGCGATATGAACTAATGTTATTTGAAACATTCTGACAAGTTGTAACAAACTATTATCTAGGTTAACCATAAAATTATATTAACTGGAATACGTTCATTATCCAAGGTTTCCAGTAGTTAAACTTAGTCTTTCCATCATGGATTATAGATTTTTTAAGTATAGAAGATGCTTCCAGAGATCAGCTCATCATCCCACCCTCAAACAGTCTGAGTATCACTATTTTTTTTTTTATTTTATTTTTGCAGAGTAAGCCAAATGATGCATACAGGGAAAAATAGGGACTAGAATGCACATCCTTGGATTTGATTTATTTACTCACAGAAATTGATACAAATGAAATTATAGATTAAATTTTACCAGATGAACACACAAGCATCAGAATTAAGAAAGAAGCACTTGGCCAGGTTTTGCTTTCCTGTAACATCACAGGAGTCCATCTACTAGGTTGGGGTCCTCTCACTGGAACTTTTGGGCTTAGTCTGGTATCTGTCATATGGGAACTAAAGGGCTAAGAGAATAGATTAATGGCCACCAGGATTGTTAATGTCGATGGAGAAACTCTGACACATAGTTATTAATTTTCCCTTTTGCACCTGATACCTTCTAGCCAACACATCCATTCATCTGGCTGCTGGTCTGGTGGATTGACCCACACAATGTCACTAACTTTCTGTAGGGGCTTTTATGTAAGGCTCTCTGCCCTTCTGCTACTTCTGGAGGCAAGAACACTGAGCACACTTACCTTTGCTATTCATGTACAGAAACAAGCCTTTGGGGGATGTATTCAAGCTCTTCCAGTCACCTGAAAGTTACCTTTTATGTTCTGACATCAAGCATTTGCCAAATTACCCAGTTTTCATGAAACTCCCCAGCATCTAAGCTTCTGCGCTTTCCGGTTCTGCGACAGCAGGTGCATATCTGCTTTCCCGGCACAGCCATTCCACTCTCTATTCCACTGACACTGTCTGTTAGTTGAGAAAGGCTGAGTGGTTGAAAGTTTACCCGTTCCTTTACAAAGAGAATTTTCTCAAAAAAATAAAATACCGTCAACTCCTCTTAAAGGATTTACTTACTGTTTTGCAAATTTCTCTGACCACTTCTCAAGTGACGAGACACTGTCTCTGGCATGTGGGTGTGCACACTTGCCTGCGGATTCGGCTGGAACAAGTCTGTACGAGGTAGTGCCAGGTAATGGGTGGAAGGAGAGCTAGAGCTGGCTCCATGTCAGGTTGTGTCTGCTGTGTGGCTCCAGGAAAGCCCTTCAGTGTCCTTGGCAGTAAAGAGAGGAGGTGACCAGCTTATTGCATGCTCAGGGCTTTCCCAATTCTGCAGTTCTGTACATCAATGAGCCCACTCAAGGCCTGGATGTCCTGACAGCTCGAGGTGCCTGCCTTTGTGTATGTTGGTCGCTCTGCCCCCAGGGGTCTTGGTGTTCAATATTCTCATGCAGCATTTCACAGTTAACATCAAGGCACCAGCCCTTTCAAGAGAGATGCTGACATGCTTCCTCACTGTCCCCTCGCCTCTCGGTCCATGACATCCGGCCACTCTGCCAAGTTCTCCTGCTGATGAGGTCCTAGTTAGCAAAGCCAGTGGTCCTTTTTCTTCCTCAACCTATGTGATTTCACTGTGCCTCAGCTTCTTCATCTGTCAAATAGTGACAGTGACAGTGTTGGCCTCACTGGGCTGTTGTGAGGTTTCACTTACTGTATGTTATAATAGATAAAAAGTAATATTTTATTTATATAAATACACACATACATGCACACACACACAGTTTAGATAAGTGCCTGAGACAAGGCTTTGTTTTTCTAAAGACCTTGCCACTTCCATGTGCTTCTCGTACTTACATTATCTATCTGGTCTCTGAAGGCAGCAGGATTATTAATCCTTGCTATCAAAACCCTACATCTTAAAAAACATAACATCACAAACTTCACAACATGGTTTTGAATTTTATTCCCATCTTTCAGAGTTTACTAACCCCAGCTAATATAAAGGTCTTTACCTCCTGTCTTCTTTCATTAAGCTAATAATGTAGCAATTACCTTGTAACACCTGACGAGGGTATCAACTTTTGTAATTTAAATCTCACATTGTTTTCCACTTGACATATGTGTGTTAGTCTTGCCTCCACAGCTAGATTGCAAATCTACATGTTAGGTTATGTAATCTACCTATATTCTCTGCAGCCTTCCCTAAGCAAGATCGCTTCCACCCATGGCCAGCAGCGGCATGAGGGTAGACAGCAAGAGGCCCCCATTCTTCATCCCTACTGAAAACCAAATACCTTTTGGAAAATGTTCTCATCAGCTATAAGCATGACCATTTGACATGATCAGGGGCCTCACCTGACACTGAGCATGGGGCTCGGGATTCAGTACACGTGGATCTTTCTATCCTGCCCCCAGGTATCCGCCGCCAGACTGCCCACTGCATGAAGAAGGGCCACGGGATGGTGAAAGCTACATTCTGTGACCCAGAAACACAGCCTAATGGGAGACAGAAGAAGTGCCATGGAAAGGATTGTCCACCCAGGTAACCGCTGATAACAGTGGAGCTCTGTGGGCTGCCTACGGTGATGTGCGATTTAATGGTAATCTAGTGCTTGGATAAAGGAGGACTGTGTGGCTTTGTTATTAGGATAAATATAAAAAAGCTGGTGGAGGTTCCTGTGGCTATGCTGTTAGACCCTGTGGCAAGCCATGAGGACATTTTCTTCTAAAAGAGTAGTATTTCTTACAAAGTGGATGTGTTCTGTGTTTTATTAATTTGGTGTAACTAAATAATAACCCAAACCATTGTTTTTTGAGAATGCTATGGATATCACTAAAAAGTTGTTTAACTGATGGGTTTGGCTTTTCCAAGGGCACTTACCAGTGCAACTGTAGCCTTCAGGCAATGCATTAGCACTTTCAGATCACGGCACCTGCTTGTACTCCAGGCTTCCTGGAAGAGTGGGCTTCTAGAGCAGTCTTCCTCAGCCTTAGCACTATTGACGTTCAGGGCTGGGTGGTTCTTTTTGGTGGAGGACTGGCCTGTGAACTGCAGGTTGCTTAGCTGCATCCCTCACCTATATTTACTTAGATGCTAGTAGCATCCCCTCCTTCCCAATGCAGGTTGGGACAACCAAAAATGTCTTCAGACACTGCCAAATGTACTCTAGGGGACAAAATCACCCTCGGTTGAAAGCCACTGTTTTATAGAGATACTCACTTTCTAACCATATTGGCTCGAGATATCGGGACCCTAGAAGGTTGCTGGGATGCTATTATGAGGGACCTTCTGTTAAAAAGAAAGAGATAGAGAAGGAGGAGGGGACAGGAGGAATGGAGGAAGAGAAACAAAGGAAGGAAGGAAGGAAGGAAGGAAGGAAGGAAGGAAGGAAGGAAGGAAGGAAGGCTAGGTTGATTTCTGGAGAGTGGCTTCATTCTCTAGTGACCTTAAACAGGAATGTATTTAGGTTACAGATCCCGTCAGGCATTTGTTCTAGGAGTTTAGTTAGACAAAAGGGGACTAGTTGGTATCATAAACAGGTGACATGTTGGATCCTAAATAAGAGCTAGAATAAGATAAATGCCAAAGAACTAGGTGAAAAAGAAGCATCAGGACAAGTCAGTTAAGGAAAGCAATGTCAGTCCTTATAGGTTCACACAGGCAGGATCCAGAGGCTGTGGTGCTCTCATCTCAGAGTCAGAAGGTAATTGCAGTTTTTGTATTACTTTCTGAGGGAAAGGTGAGCCAGGAAAGAGAACCTTTCCTAGAGCTGATCCATAGCCTGCTACTCTGCAGAGGTCATGTGCTTCTGCCGTAACTGCTCTTCCTCAAACTTAATGACCCTCTACTAATAAATGCCTTTTGCACTCATTAGGTGGCAGCCACCGCACCAATGCTGGGGATTCTTACTGCACTTCTCAAAAACCACTCTCTGTGGGATTGGCTACCTTCTTAAAACCACAGCCATTTATATCCTGAAACTAATTTTATCCCTGGGGTCCACATTCTCATTGCTATGGTTTTACGTAGTCTGCCTTGCCCTTCATATTGCCAGTAAATATCTGTTGGGCACTTGCTATTTCCCGTGAGAGATACATGGTGATAATAATCAAGTAATAGTTACCTTATGGAACACCAACGTTGCTCTTGGCCATATGTTAGAGACACCTTATGTATTCTCTTTATTATTCTCAACTACTCAGAAAGACAACTGTTACTGTGCCAATTTTACAGACAAAGAAATGTTTGCTATCTCACTCAATATCATGAAGCTAGTAGGTGGCAGAGATTGAATCCAGGGCTGTCTGTGTCTAAAGCCTGTGGGCTCCATTACATACAGCAGACCCCCCTCCCTGTCCCCAAAGGCAGGTGCACGCTTCTCCCCTTATTTGGGCTGTGTCTGAAGCAAAGCAGGCGCTATGCTAAGTGTGCTGAGCACAGAAGACCCTGAGGCAGGAGTCTGCTGCCAGGTGAGGGGAGCTGGGGATACTGGCTGTGTGCATCAAAACACCACAGTCATAGAAGACTGTGGATTCCTTATCAGCTCGCTGTTTTAGACCAGATGTCAACCTGTACCTGACATTTTCTTGTTCACCTGTCACTAAAAATTTGGCTTCAGTATTTTCAGAATTCACTTCCCATAAGGGTGGGGTGTCTTCAGCTATCTCCACCCTCCAATTACCAGGACTTCCTAGTTGGAGGTAACCCTTTAATAAGATACAAGTAGTGTACTAGAGGAAGGTGGCTGTTGGGGCAAGAGTCTAGAGGCTGCAGGACAAGAGAGATGCTGAGGCTAAAACCCAACACAGAGTAGACACAGAAAGGTGCCAGATAAAGAATTCCTTAAGTGGTACAGGCTGAACTCTGTGGACTTGAAAATTTAGCTTATCTAGACTAAAACCCTAGCAAAAGTAACAATTAGAAAGTCACATATGGTGATTCTATTATTTTTGTTGAAAGAGATAAGGCTTTCTAACTTGATTAGAGATTTTGACTCCTGAGTATGTTAAGTAAACACAACACATACAGGTACAATTTCCCAAAATGTATTCTAGAGTAGGATATGATAAGCTAAATAGAATTTCATGAAATATTCAGACATAATGATTAATTTACAAAAGTCCTTCTTATTCATGATTGCATTTCAGCTTCTGCAAATATTTATGAAGTAGTCAGGGACAGAGGGTGGATATTACCCCCAGGTAGTATATGCGGAGATAAGGGTTCAGAGAAATTTGATGCCATGCCCTAGAGGAAAGGGCTGAAGAGGAAACTAGCAATTTTTAAGAACCTACTATTTTCTAAACCCCTTCCATATTGCCATATCGTTTAATCCCATTAGCAACCCTGATTCATAGATATTTTTGTGCTCATTGTACAGATGAGAACACTAACTCCTTCACAAAAGTTTTCCGAGGTCTCTTAGCTACAAGTCATAGAGTGTGGGTTTGAACCCAGAGCTGTCTGCCAAGAAGCCTCTGCTTGTGCAACCGCACAGTGCTGCTGCCCAGGATCTCAGAATGAGCACATTTCAGTGCTAGAACCAGAACCCCCCACATTTAAAATATTTCTCTCACATTAAAACACAATGAAAATGTTATGAATGAGCAGAAAAGTCTGACTTCCAAAGCTAAGTCATGCATGCAAATTCATAAAAGGACCAAAGGAAAGAAATTAGTTTACTTTTTAAAGAATAAGTAAATAATAAATGAAGATTGCTCAGTTAATTTTGCTTTTACAAGCTTAGTCCAGTAGTTTCCTTGGATATGAAATTCAAGTTGCAACATCTCCCTCTGTCACCTAATTTCCATGATATCAGAGCTGTCATTTTCCCTCCCAAAAGGATTTCATGTGACAGGTTTAATCTTTTTTATTTCTGGATCATTTTTCCTCAGTAATATCTTGTTTTTACATCCGATTTGGACATTCTGTGTTCTTCCCCTAAGGAGGATTTAAAACATATTTTTTTAAAGATTTAACAAAAGCTTCTGATTATCTAAATATAAGAAATATATATTACACAGCCAATGGATTTCAGGACGAAAGCCTTGCAGAGTATGTTCCAGGATAGAGTAAGTAGCCTGTCAAGAAAAAAATTCTTTGGAATCAAAGTGTATCTGACTCCAGAAAGAGGTCACTCGAGTCTTTTCTTCCTACTGATTTCTCTCTGCACTTTGGTTTTCAGCATAGCCAAGCTCTGCTAGGCTACAGCTGTGTTCATGCCCAGCATATCCAAACTGTTCAATAAACATTTGATGGCGATTCACTCAATTCTGGCAGCTGCATGTAGGTTTCAGTGCACAGAAGAATGGCATATGATTTAAATCAAAGACGAGGAAAGTGATCAGACATGGATGAGGAAACTGATCAGGTATCAAGGGTAGGGATTCTTGCCAAACTGACTTAGCAGAGTTCTTTGCTAAAACTGGATTTTACAAGTAAGTGCATAGAGGGGCCTAGGAGAAGTTTCAAGAACCTGACTAAACTTTGGTCAGGCAGAGAATCTTTGTCAGTGTCATTGGCATTCTGGTAAGAGAAAGATCAATAGCAAAAACAGAAAAAGTCAAGTTAGGTTGCTGTTAATTCTATGCTGATTAAACCAGGGAAGTTGTCTTGTTGCGGGAGAATAAATTCTTGGCCTAGGTCTTTTGTCTCGCTAAGTCGGCCAGTCTCTGTCATAAATCTCATAAAGATATAAATATAAAACATCCTGTAAGTGTAAAAACAGTATTCTGTTATGAGTATCCCAGATAGCTCCTAGAAGAGGTGGGATTATGGCAGACACCAAAAAGAAGGAGTTGGACAACAGAGAACAATTTGACGGTGGCTTCTGAGCCCCAGGCCTGGAAGACCTTTCCAGGAAATAAAAGCAACTGATTTTCACTTTAAACTATTGACAAACTGTTGTAGTCTATTTTGTGCTGCTACAACAGAATACCACAGACCAGGTAATTTACGAGTAACAGAAATTTATTTCTCACAGTTCTGGAGGCAGGAAGTTCAAGATCAAGGCAGTAGCATTTGGTCTGGTGAGGGCCTTCTTGATGCATCTGCACATGCTGAAAGGCAGAAGGGCAAGAGAGGACAAACTTGGGTCCTCACATGGCGGAACAAAAAAGAGCAAATTGGCTCCCCAAAATCCTTTTTATAGCGGCATTAATCCACTCATGAGAACCTGAACACCTCCCATTTGGTCCCACCTCTCAAAACTATTGCATTAGGGATTAAGTTTCTAACATATGAATTTTGGGGGACACATTCAGACCATAGCACAGGCACATGTAAAATATCCCGCAAGGGACTATGGTGGAAACTCCAGGAAGGGAAATCAAGATGGTGCAGTATCACTTTGTGGTGATACAGCTGAAAGCCCTATAGCAAGTAATTAGATAAATTAGGTTATCAGTCAGCTGTTATTAAAGCCTTTCCAGAATGACATCTTATATATCCAGTAGTGTGCTCAGCCTTCCTTAGAAATGTCAGAGGTAGGACAAAGTAATTAGATTAATACAGTGGGAATTTTTTGATGTCACATCATGCTATTTCAATATTATCTCTTTATCCACACAAGACAGCCAGATGATAAACACCAAAGAATAAATAAGAATCTTAATTACTCGTTAACTGAGGAATATAACAGAATTGAAGAATAGCTTTCTTCTAATATTTTTAACTTGAGATTAAAAGTATAAGGATCAAAAGAAGTTCCACCCCCCAAAATCCAATATTTAGTAAACAAAAATAATAGTACACAGTTTTATTCTCTTCAGAATTACCAAAATTCAATAATATGTGAAAGTCAGAAGGCTTTCCTAAAGTCAAAAATGAAGGCTTTCCCATGGTATACTATTTTCCCATGAAAAATAAAAATATCCCACTCCATTACTACACACAAGGATGAAGAAGCAGGTGCATAGCAGCCCTGGTGGACACTGGCCCCACTGGATGAAGACAATTGCTCTGCCTTCCATGTAGGGGAAGGTCTGCACAATGGTAGAGAAGGAAGGAAAGAGAAGATTCCCAGGAAGGCTCCCTGCCTTTTTCAAAAGCCACTTCTTTGTAACCAGTGGACCCACATCCTAGAATCTCCAGTAAATCATTCATGATAATAGTGTAGAGAAAGGGTATACATACTAGTTTTTCCACAGAGAATCCAAAACATTAATTTAGCCAATAGTTCTGACAAGTAAGAAATTATCCTATTTAAGTTTCTTCTTTTTTAACTTTCTTCTTCTCAAAGGAACCAGTGAAAATATTAACAAGTAGACTGGAGGGGATGGGGTGGGAGGTGGGGGCGAGAATGAAGGCAATGTCTCTGATGGAACATGTCCTAAATAATTGAAAATTGGTATTTAAGTACCTGCTTCACATTGGAATAGAAAAACATTCACCTGAGAGCCAGGAGACCCAGAATCTAATTGGATTCTTTTATTCAATAGCAACAGTCAAAATAGCAATAAATCATAGTAAATTATTGAGTTCTTATTATGTTTCAAGCTCAGTGCTGTGTACTTTACATGAATTGGTATTTCCTTTAATCCATAACATTCATGCAAAGTTTATGTTTTTATGCCCATTAAACAGATGAGGAGTGAGGCTTACATTTGCTTGAAGTTGCCCATCAGAAACCTGGACCTCAGTTTTCTTGACTTAAAAGAGAAAACCAAATAAGAGAGGGCATATATAAACATACGTATTTTTTTCATTCGAAAACATGTGTATTTAGCAACTACTTATGCCAGGTGCTCTGCTGGGCTCTGGAGCTTTGATTGAACAGGTCACCATGGCCCTCTCTGCACAATGCCCCCTAGCTGGCTGGAGCACCTCCGAGGACCTCCTAGCTATGTCGTCCGCACTTTTGCACCTGCTTTCTCTTTCCAGTGGTTGAATTGAATGTGTACATATGCACTTCTGGCGATCTTCTCTCACATGTCCATGTCTGTCTGCAGGTGGTGGACAGGGGAGTGGGAAGCGTGTTCAGCGACATGTGGGCCCCACGGGGAGAAGAAGCGAACAGTGCTGTGTATCCAGACCATGGGCTCTGATGAGCAGGCCCTCCTGGCTACAGACTGCCAGCACCTGCTGAAGCCCAAGACCCTCATTTCCTGTAACAGAGACATCCTGTGTCCATCAGACTGGACAGTGGGCAACTGGAGTGAGGTGAGCTCAGAAGCTAAGAGGGAAACTGGCAGTCACTCGAGTAACTGGAAATTACGCTTCATCAGCCCCCCACTTAATCCTCCTCATTATCCAATCATGATCCTAAGGTAAAATTGCAAAATGGACAGTGTCCATCACTTCTGGCGTTTTTCCTGCACTTCCCTGTGTTCCTTGTTTTCCATTCTTAGAAGGTCTTGCTCTCCCTTGTCCAGTGGTCAGCTAACTATCCATAAGGGATGAAGTGGGTCCACTAGCACAGGCTCATGACAGCTAATTGATAAGTTGTCAGAATTGTTGCTGGCCCATTGTTAAACCATTGGTAGCAAATCAGGGCTCCCTCACCCACCCCAAGAGCCAGTTTGTTAAACATTGACCAGCACTTCACTGTAATTAACTAAAACAAAGGAGTGTCACTCTAATAGTGGAATGATAAGGAGTGTACTTGACACTCAGAGAAGCCCCCTCAAATCATCAATCTATTCAGCATGTGTCAAGGCCAGACCTGACCAGGGTTTAGGATATCTACTATTATTAGCCACATAAATTCAAAAGTATTGAATTTTCCCCAAAGTAATTTGATATAATTCTCTGAGTGTAATTAGAAATCAGTGGGCTAGAAGGTCACAAAAAACTCCCAGGTTTTGCTCTTCTTTGTGCCACTATGAAACCTGGTTCTGCCAGGCCCTGTGCTTGCAGAGTAACTAGGGGAAGGAAAGCCCTTCTCCCCCAAGAGGCCTGGAGTCTCCAAGGGTGCTTTTCAGTCAATGATCTAAGGAATGACTAGAAAATAAACGATAATTTAAAATCAACAGACCAGAATTTTAAAGATTGATGCTGACTTCATCTTATGAGCTTCCTTGAAAAGCCACATGATTTTCATAATAATGCTACCACTGACCAGTATATTTTAGGAACTCCTCTGAGGACTCACCACCCAGGAATGGAAAATATTTGATTCAGGAGACTGCCACAGAAAGTCAATTAGAACTAAGGCTGATGGATGAGTAACGTAATCAATTTGGATAAAACTTTTGGGTTTAAAAAGTGGTATTTGATTATAAATAAATGAGATTGTTTTTCATGTGTAGCTTAGAAACGTACTCTGAAAGTATTGTTTAAAGAAGAAATCTAAAATTTGTGTAAGCAAAGTTACCATCTCTGGAGGTATCTATTTAATAGCAGAACATTCATTTGAATACAGAAGCTTTGATAACCTTATTTTCAAGACTATTTCAATAGCTCATAGTCACAGTTTAGGTTTATTTAGCTTCTAATTCTGTGCAGGATGCTTTCTTGGGCATCTAGGTGAAATAAAAAGAAATGAAAAATGCAGTCCCTAGATTATAAGAACTTTCTATTAAAATGGAAGAGATAAGACCAAAGAAAAAAGAAAAGAAAAGAAAGGAAAGACCAAGGTGTATTAGTCCATTTGTGTTGCTTATAACAGAATACATGGAGCTGGGTGATTTATAAAGAAAATGAAATTTATTGCTTACAGTTTCTGAGGC